GGCATACAAAGTGGAATGGAAAGTGGCTGTACCTCCCTTTCTTACCCTCTCTTCTATTTTAAACACTGATAAAGTTATGGCCTGGGAAACCCAATGGAGTGTCAGTTACGAGTCTGTTCAGAATTGATAGCAGTGGAAGAGCAATGATATTGTTAGCAATGAATTGGAAGGGCAATGGGCATTTGGTACTGTTTTTTTTTTAATAATTTTAATGAACATTTACAGAGAATTTGGATTTCCATTCATTCATCGCTGCACTTCTCTACCTGCCCAGCCCTCTCTACCCGCCCCCAGTTCGCTCCTCTCCTTCAAAAGCAAAAGAAAGACTCCCTCCCTGGTACACAATCCTCCCACACCCCTCCCACCACCCCAAGTACATTCCACTAGGTACTGTTTTTTAAACCTCAGTGCTCTTAGCAATTAAGTAGTAGCATGTTGATAAAGATCTGTGCTCATGTCCTTCAACCAACCAGTTCTGATGTGTGGAGCTTGTCCTAAAAATAGAAAAGAATATGAAGCTACTCAATTGTGTTCGCTCCAGCATTGTGAAGAAAATAGCAGAAGTATATATTATTAAGGATGCTCTTGTTATGTGCCATTAAGTCTATTTCAACTCAGCAATCCTTATGAACAACAGATGTGAATCCTGTTCTATCTTGTGCCATCCTCATCATCTGACATAGTTGAGTCCAGTGCTGCCACTGTGTCAATCCATCTCGTTGAAGGTCTTTCTTTGATCCTTCACCTTACACAACTAAAGTATGTGAGGCAAAGCTTTGCCATCCTTACCTCCAAAGAACATTCTGGCTGCAGCTTCTTCAAGACATAACTATTCTTTGCTAGGCCATGGCATAGTCAGTACTCTTCTCCAACACCACAGCTTAAAGGCATCGATTCTCCTGACATTCATTATCTAGCTCTCAGGTGCATAGTAAGTAATTAAAAAGACCTGAATGGCTGGAATCTGGTGCACCTTTGTCTTTAAACTGACATTGCTCCTCTGTATTTTGGAGAAGTCCCTGACAGCTGACTTCCCCATTGCAATACATATTTTGATTTCTTGACTGCTTCTGCCAAGGGTGTTAAATGTGGATCCACGTAAGACAAAATCATTGGCAATTTTAATCTTTCCCCCATCAATCATGATGTTGCTTATTGCACCAGTGGTGAGGATTTTGTCTTCTTAATGTGATGTAATCCATATTAAAGGCTATGATCTTCTACAGCAAGTGTTTCAAATAGTTAAATTATGTGCACAGTTCAAGAAGCCCAATTAAAGGATGAGTTGGTATGGATAGATCTCCATACTGAAAAGCAAAAGGGCAAAATTATACCATGAGTCCGTGAGTTTTAAACTGCAGATCCATGCTTATCCACCAAACGAAAGTTATATTGAGTGCTACGGCTCACATACTTTGGACATGTCAGGAGGGGCCAGTCTTTGCAAAAAGACACCAAAGAGGTGGATTGTCACAGTGACTATAATAGGCTAGAGCATAGCTGAGACTGAGGATGGTGCAGGATAGGGCAAGGTTTAGTTAGATCTGTCGTTCACAAGAGTCAATGTGAGTTGTAACCACCACCACTACCACGTGACACACATGGAATATTGTTAACTCTCAATGTGGTAGAGTCTGAACTGACTTATTGCTGACCCTCCAGCAGGTTTTGTAAGGCTGTAAATAGCATTGGAGCAGCTGATAAATTCGAACCGCCAGGGTGTTGCTGCCGTTCATTTTATTGGATGTTGTGTACCATACACCATAAATCAAAGGCTGTTAATTAAACCGGAGGAGATTGACAATCCTTCTCTTGCAGAGCAACTGGTGGGTTGAAACCATTTGCCTTTGGTTTTGCAGCGAGCGTTTCACCACCTCCCACACTACTAGCCTGTAAGGAACCCACGAGGGATACTTGGTTTTGTCTTTTACCATCTTGTCGGTTTATAGTTTTACATAAGTGAGAAGAGCTTCAGGGGCTGACTAGCTTGCCAGAGCCAGGCCTGAAAAGGGCGGAGGGTATGCTCCATCTGTCTGGCCTCGCACCCCAGCACCAGCAGCGGGTGCCCAAAGAGGTGGTCTGGAAAAGTGTGCCAGAGCCTTCGGCCCGCGGCCAACTCCGCCCTTGCCGCCAGCCCGCCCACCCACCTGGTGGCGCACCAGAGAGAGGAGAAATTGCGCGCCTAGAGCGGCAGTGCCGGGTCGGCTGGACTGTGCCGCTGGCCACGGGTGCTGGGTGGGGCCTGAGGCAGGAGGGCAAGCAAGCGGGGTACACTGCCTTTACAGGGACTCCCGGGCTGCTGAGGGAGAAGCTGTAGGCATCCCCACCCGACCTGCTTCGCGAGGCACCGCACCTCGGGTTTCCAGGAGGCAAACTGGCGCCTCTACAAGTGTGGGGACCCCAGATCCCGCGGCGCCGACAGCGTGAGACCCTTGCAGGAGGTCGGCCAGATCTTTGTTGCCTGTGTTCTTTGAGCCTCGGGTCCATTATCCAGAAATTAGACTAACATTTACTGAGTGTCCATTGTGCGATCTCAGTGAGATACATTCCGGGTCTCCAGGGTACTGAGAGAATTGACATCACTGGCATCTCATCTGCCTCTACGTGCGTTCATCAAGAAGTTTTAAGGGCTGAATACCAGATATGTGCCAGGCATGTAGAGGCTGTGCAGAGAGAAACTCTTGCCTTCAAGGAGCTCAGACCTGACTGGTAATAGAAAAAAGAGCAGGAACCTGTAATAGGAGAGGGAGTGAGTGGTGTGCGTTAGGACTGGGCCCGCGTTTCCATGGGAACACCTTACAGCCACCGTTGTGGCGCAAGGACGGAATGGAGCTGGGGGTGGACCATTGTGGCGCAAGGACGGAAAGGAGCTGGGGGTGGCCAGGAAAAGCTAGCAGAGGCAGTGGCATTTTCTCTAGGTTTTGGGAATTTACTCTGTTAAAGAGTGGTTCTTGCCGTAAATCACAAGGTGAGTGGAGAAAATGTTGAGTAGACAGTATAGCAATGACTTGCGGAGTTTGGGAAGATTAATTCTTTTAAAGGTAGATTGTTTTTAAATTTTGTATGTTAGCCATATTCCTGGAAAATGGTTCAATCAATGTTTAGAAAGTGTCAAAACAAAACTCAACGTAGGTCAAAATCGTAGATTGCCTAAAATTGCGTTCTAGAGAATTTTAATTTATTTCAGGGAGAAGAGACAGAAACTGAACTAAACAACGCCATCCAGGAATGTTGAATGTAGTCAGAATTAAGAGTTAGGAAATAATCCAGTAACATGAAACGTAGTTCCATTCTGACACAGTGGAGTTGCCATGAGTTCGAATTGATTGATGGTCTAGAAACTGGCTTTGGAGTTTCTGGGTGGTGGTGCAAAAATTCTTGGCTGTTAATAGGTTAAAAATGTAAAGATTTCCGTTTACCTAGACAAACCTGAAAGCAAGGCCAGGTGACCTACTTCTGAAAAAAGTTGTTGAAAACCCTGTGGAGCACAATTCTGTCTGACACACATGATGGCTATGAGTTGGAATTGACTGGTCTGGCTTGGTGTTGTTTTTTTTTCCCTCAATAGATTGTGGGATGAGACAGTAATACCACACAGGAAATTGTTACAATAATGAATGTAAATGAAATTAAGAGAATAAGAAGGAGAAAATTACATCACGAGGCATTTTGGGGTGAAGAATTGACTAAACTCAGTGATTGGGTATGGGGACCAGTTTCCAGCCTGAGTTGGAAGGCGATAGTGACATCACTGTAAATGTAGACATACAGAGAAGAGAGAATTATAATTTGGTAGTATGTTAAAATTGTGGTGTAAGGGGTCGGGTCTGCAGCTGGAGATGTCTTGCTGGCAGTTCAAGTTGATAGATGTGAAAGCCAAATTGGAACTAGACAATGGTTTGAGTGTTCCTGAGATGGAAAGGTATTGAAATTATGATTGATAAAGTCACAAAAAGAGAGTGAGGTCACAAAAGAAAGTGAGAAACCACAAAAAGAAAGTGGGGACAAGAAGCATAAGAATACTGTTCTTATGAAGCATTAGATATGTATTGTTGCATGTGAACATAAAAAAATAAATAAAAATATAAAGCTTACCAACTTCAGAAAACATCAGTTTATTATTTCTAAGAGTCTATTGGTTAATTGGACAGTTCCATTGCTATAGTCTCACATGGGGTTATTTATATGCCTGCATTCAACTAGTAGAACAGCTGGGAACTAGAGTCCCTGGATTCTTATCAATATGACTACCCTGTATGACTAGCTTGGGCTTCCTTGCAACCTTGGGCAGTCTCATGGTAGTGTGCCAAGAGTTGCTAGGCCACTTTTCCTTATGATGGCATTTTTGTTACACGTTATTGGTGAAGAGTTATAAAGCCACTTTCTCTTTAAATACCAGTTTTTGGTTACATTTTATAGGTGAAAGCAAATCATAATCCACTGATTGAAGGGAGGTTGGGGGGAAATACTTTTGATATAAACTATGGCACGATCTCATTACAAAAGATATTAAGGATAGGAGTCATTTCAGTCATCTTTAGAAATAGTCTACGACACCTACATTTAAGGTTGAATATTCAGTGAGAGATATACCAAGACATATGACTTTGAGAATGGAATATCTATCCAAGTAAGCAGCCTTCTGGCTCCTTTATGAGTAGAGTTTGTCCCCTTTCCCTAACAAAAGTATGAACTGCTCAATCACTCTCTTAAGTTTAATAAACCTTTCTTCCTTCATACTCTACATTAATCTTAAGCCCTCGATCAGAACCACCCTTAGGGTTCAAGGTATACTTCTGGTTAGTTTCACTGATAGAGGTGAGCAGGCTCAACTTTTAAATATGACTTACTTAGGGACAAAAATAGTAGCATAATGCATAGAATTTTGAAGCTATTGTAATTTTCATGTTAGTAATAAGTTCTCATGCCTTAGATATGCATTTGGAAACACATTTCTGAGCAAGAACCAAGTGATCCTTGTCCTAGCATCTAAACTTACCATGTATGAAGCTTCAGGCCTTGCTCTTGAAGATGAAAAGGGCCTTGTGAAGGTGAAAGAGGAAAATCCCACACTGGAGCAGACATATGCTCTACAGGAGAGCAGCCCCCATACTCAGGAGCGATGTCGCTTGCACTTCCGAAAATTCTGCTACCATGAGGCTTCTGGGCCCCGGGAAGCTCTGGCCCAGCTCAGAGAACTTTGCCATCAGTGGCTTAGGCCAGAGGTGCACACCAAAGAGCAGATCCTGGAGCTGCTGGTGCTGGAGCAGCTCCTGACCATCCTGCCGAAAGAACTTCAGACCTACATGCAGATATATCATCTGGAGAGTGGAGAGGAAGCAGTGACAGCACTGGAGAATCTAGAGACAGAGCATGGAGACACAGGACAACAGGTGGGAGGAGAATATTTTGGTGGTATGGAAGAAAAAAATAAGAGAACTTTACCTTGTCATTTTTAAAACATTTTGCTTTTGAGATAATTTTAGCTTGCAGAAGCATTGGAAGAATAGTACAAAGAACGACCATTCAAATTTGCTAGTTGCTGGCATTTGTTTCAAAATGTCCCTGCATTGGACTTAGGCATGGAGACATAGCAAGAATAATGAATGGTCCGGCAGTCTGTTATGTTTGCACCACTCTCCCTACCCTCGTCCAGGGGTTGGGGTAGGGGGTGATCTGTTGACTGGCCTTGTTTCATTCTTTGGACTTGTGCCTGAGATAAATAGTCCCCTCTATCCCTCATGGTTTATCTCATTACAATGATGCTATAGTAGAATCTGTCCGATATCTCCATTATAAAATCAGTATTTTCTCTCTTGCTTTTACTAAGTAATCTATAGGAGGTATTTTGTACTTTAATCCAGTTCCTATATATGTATATCCTGTATTATGTGGATACACATTCTTCTATTTCTCATCAAACTTTCACACCCTAGTTTAAGCATCCCTCTGTTTTTGTTTTTACTTCTCTTGTCTGTCTTATTTGTTATCTCTAGTACCTAGAGCAGAGCCTAACTTGTAAAAGTGTGTATTCAGTCAGTATTTGCCAAATGAATGACTGTCTCTGTCTTACACTCATTGGCTCATTGGAGGATAAATGGGCCTTTATCCTTAAACGGGGCTTGTTCTATGTTTTCAACTGCTGCTAGGTCCAGTTCTCTTTTCAAGATGAGTCTTTTGTTTCTAGGCTTCAGTCTACATTAAAGAACAGGACATGCATCTAGCAGTGAATGAACATCAAGGAGACTCTTCAGAGCAACAGCACCTCCAGCTCCTACCTGGGACAACCATCCTAAAGTGTGAACTTCCAGATCTTCATTTCCAAGAAGTGAGTGGTGAGTGCCAGAGGACGTGTTTGGCAGGTACATTATAATAAGACCACCAACTGGCTATTGCTTCAAGATTTTTTCCCTAACCCTGTGTTTAAGAAAGTTTTTAAAAACATAGGGAATGGTAAAATATTAGAATTCTAAAGCATTTTGTTGAACACCGTCAACTAATAGTTGTTGTTGTTGTTATGTGCCGTCGAGTCGTTTGCAACTCATAGCGACCCTATATGTACAACAGCCCTAAACCCTGCTCTATCCTGTGCCAATCGCATTGCCTCTGACACACCCATCCCGATTACCCCAGTCACTGAATCAATCCACCTCATAGAGGGTCTTCTCCTCCTGCGCTATCCCTCTACCCTACCAATCATGATGTCTCTCTCCAAGGACCTGTCTCTCCTTACAACATGTCCAAAGTATGTCAGACGAAGCCCCAGAATCCTTGCTTCCAAGGAGTAGCCTAGTTTAACCCTCTCTAGGATGGATCTGTTTGTTTTCTTGGCAGTCCATGGTACATTCAATACTCTTCCCCAGGACCACAGCTCAAAAGCGTCAATTCTCTTTCTATCCTCCCTAGTCATTGTCCAACTCTCTGATGCATAACAAGTGATTGCAAAGACCATGGCCTGTATCAGGCACACCTTAGTCTCCAGAGAGACACCGTTGCTCTTGAGTACTTTAGAGAGGTCCCTAACAGAATACATTTATTTTTTTTTATTTCCTGGCTGCTGGTGCCAAGAGTGTTGACCGTGGAGCCGAGCAAACTGAAGCTGTGAACAATCTCAATCTCTTCACCATCCATCCTGATGCTACCGATTGGTCCAGTGGTGAGAATCTTTGTCTTCTTGACATTGAGCCTCAGTCCAACTAATAGTAGGAAGACCAAAACTCAGGGATTGTAAATGACCTGTCCACGGTCAACAAAGGCAAAGCTATTTTAGCATTTAAATTACCTGACATTCTGACTTAAAGTCTCTCCTCTATACTTCTCTCCATTCTACATTAGAGAATATGGTAAATAGTTTTGATACCTGACTGGAAACTTACCCTTTATCCCTTGGTGACATGTCTAGATCCTGCTCACAGCACCATTCACATGTCAGGTATCTTGTTCACCACCCTGTTTGTCAGGGCTGAGGCAATCAGCCCAGGTTCGGGGGCCAATTGGGAAACAGCATGAATTGCTGAGGAGTTACAGGTTTACACAGATTGTAGGGAGGAGGCCTGCCAGATACCACTTCCCCCACCCTCTGGAGCCTCTGAGCCATATCACACTAACTGCAAGGACATAAGCCTTGGGCCTTACTGTGAGCTAAGATCTTATAGTGCTCTGAACAAAGGTGGCTCTCTGCCACATTTTTCACCTGGACACAGGATTACATGCAAAATAATATGCACAGACCACTACTCTTATCACCCACAAATGTCTGGTCACATTTAATGATTCAGCATAGCACTATGGAGCTTGCTCAGACATGGCTGTAGTGTGGCTAAAACTGCTTATTGTATTATGAAGCACATTTCAGGTTAGTACAAATCTGCCTACTTGGTGTGCACAACACATTGCAGTCCCTGACAATGACATTTTAAAAAATTTTGTTCCCTGCCTCTAATTTTCCAAACATGTCAGAGAAGGTTCTCTAGGCTTAAACTGACTCTGTCTCTCCCTTTGAAATGCACCCTACTCTCTGATGAACTCTTTCCATATACAGGCTTTATCTCTAGGTAAACCAGCTCAAATGCTGAAATATTTCAGCTTTAGATAGGCTTCTGACACTGGGATGAACTAAGCATAGAATTGAAAGTCTGTGGTCTGCAGTCTGCCAATGAATTGGGGTGAAAAGATAGTACAAAGAAGATTCAGAGTTCTTATAACTCCCTGTTGTTCTTGTATACCGTCAAGTCAGAACCAACCCATAGCTGACTGGTCTGGCAGGTTTTCAGAGGTAATCACATGGGAGAAGATTGCCCGTGGATTTGAACTGTGTGCCTTCAGGATTGCAGCACAGCTTCTTGCCATTAGATTGCCAGTAGTGAATTGTTTTTAACCTTTAGGTGAGAGTCATTACCAACTCTTAGAAATCTGTTGAATGCTATGAATGCTTTTCCCTGGAGAATGCATACACATCAAAATTTTGGCCACAATTTCAGAGGATTAATGGTTTAGAATATCCACATTGGTAATCTAGGAATACTGATGTTTCAATGCTAAATAATGAATAAGTGAGTCATGTAATAAACATATGGAAACATTAGAAGGAGATAGGATGAAATATATAGGGTTGTGATATTTACCTGTTCCTAGGTGAAAGAACGACAGATCTGAACCTTACCCTATCTGAAGTTATCCTTACAATCTCTGATATGCTCAAAGCCCATTATTACAGTCACTGTGTCAATCTATTTTTGTGGGAGTCATCCTTTCTTTCTCCAAGTGATACCTTTTTCCTAGGACTGGCTCCTTTAGACAACAGGTCCAAAGTTGTGAAATGAAGTTTCATCATCCTTGCCTCCAACAAGCACCTAGTTTTGCTTCCTGTAAGACAAATTAATTTGTCCATCTACATAGCAAAGTTAAACAATGGCTAGGAAAAGTTATATTGAAAAATAAACCACACAGTTCTACATTTTTATCCATTGTATCTGGGACCATCTAATGTGGTTCTGGTTTGAACAGTGGTAGCCAGGCACATCTAGGTCTTCTGGCCTCAAGGTAAGTAAGGCCATTATACAGACTATTAGCCCTATAGACTTAATTTCTTCTTTGAGCTTGTAGCTTCCCTCTTTTCTGTTTTCTCTAGCCTAATGTTCTTGGACAGGTATGCATTGCTTCACACCAGACTGCATATAATAACTCACATTCATACAGCCTTGGATCACAGATGGGATACAAGCAGGTGAGACAGAGGGCATGACTCTGCATATAGACTTTCCCTGTTTTCCGTGGCTGTGGTGGAGGGCTGATCCTGTTGCTAGGGCAGTTGGAGTAGGACATGCTCTACCCCTTCCCTGTTTACTTCTTGCTCTACTCCTTTAAGTTCACCTGTCTATAGACTATGCCACTAGAGCTCCTTCACTGTGTTGCTAGCCCAGAGGTATATAGTTTGAATCTACTGGCTGCTCTGAGAGAGAAAGATGGGAATTTTCCTCCTGTTTTATTTACTGCCTGTGAAAACTGGCTGGAGGATCAGCCACGAGTACGTTCTGACTCAGTGACATTTAACAACAACTGTTATCTATTTACTAATTATTTACTATTTACTATGAGGTTACTAGGAGGACCAGTCCTTGGAGAAGGACATCTCGCTTGTAAGGCTAGAGAGTCAATACAGGAGAGGAAGACCCTGGACGAGATGGATTGGCACAGAGACTGTAGCAATGAGGTCAGGTGTGTCAGAGATGGTGAGGTCAGCTCAGGATAAGTCAAGGTTCAGAGCTGTTGTTCATAGGTTTGCTATGAGTCATAGTCAACTCAGCAACACATAACAACAACAACAGCAATTATTACTTCTCTCTGTTTCCCTTATCCCTAGAAACAATCCAAGAATGATTCTACCCATTTGAAAACCTTTCCAAAACTTTTTGCAATAGTCATAGCAATAGGGCAGTGTTTACTAAAGCATAGAAATAAGAATTTTTACTAGATGCCACTCCTACTTTGAAACTTTTTGCAATAGTCATCATATACAATACTTTTCCTGTAGGGACTGAGTTATTTCACTCAATATAATGTGTCTAGGGAAGCTCTGATGGCCTAGTGGTAAGAATCTGTGCTGCAATCCCAAAGGCATTTGGTTTGAATCTACCAGCTGTTCCGTGGGAGTCTCTTCCCTTGCAATTGTTGCCTCTGAAAACTCACCTGAGGATCAGATATGGGTCGATTCCAACTCCACAGTACTCAATAACAACAACAACGTGTCCTAGAGGCATCCATATTGTGTAGTATTTAATGAATTCATTATTATTTTCCAGAGTTGCATAACACTTCTTTGTGTGAATGTACCATAGTTTCTTTTTCTCTTTTTAAAATGAATAACAAGCATGCTGCCTCGTTCTTCCTTTATTTTTGTTTTATGAGTGAAAGTTTATAAATTTTATTAGTTTTTCATTCAATCATTCATACACATTTTAAATTGTTGTTGTTCTTAAGTGCTTTCAAGTCGCAGGTGACTCATAGCGACCCTATGAAGGAGAGTCCTCAACGCTTGGGTGTCTTTCATCCTCTCTCCAAGTTCATAGGGTTTCCGGAGGCAAGCTATTATGGAAGTGGATGCCACTCCTCCTTCCAAGCTTGTCTTAATCGGGGAGCTCCACCCCACTCTCTGTCTGCATTGGGTAACCAGCCATTAACACATTTGACACATCAGTGTCACAGTGTTCAGCCTCACAGCAACCACAGGTGACCACGGGACGGCAACTTGTACACCAGGGCTATACGACCTAGAGGAATGTCTGAACAAAAACAATGAAAGGCCTGAGGGCCGCGTATTAAAAGTCACCCAGCTTTGGATTGGTAGCATTGCTTTCTGTCCACTGGACCCCCTGATCTCTATGTTGATGTTATTGTTGTTAAGTGCCGTCAAGTCTCAGGTGACTCGTAGCGACCCTGTGAAGGAGAGTCCTCACATTTTAAATAACATTAATTATAATTGCTTTGGTGGCCAAGTCTGTGGGGAATTATGCTGCTAACACAAAGACTCCATCTCTCTGGTGGTTTGAATTCACCAGAGGTTCAAAGAGAGAAAGATGAACAACCTCATCCCATATGTTTATAGGCCAGAAACTCAATGAAGGGTCAGCTATGGGTTGGTTCTGACTCAGTGGATGATGTAATTTATTATCATGTTAGATCAACCTCTTATTGTATAATAGCTCTTCATCCATTGTATCTGTTTATTAATTTTTACTCTCCTCTCCCTCCCTTTCCATTCCTAGTAACCAAGAATGATTCTATTTCTAAGTAAACCTTTCCTCAGCTTTTTATAATAGTGGTCTTATACAGTGATAGTCCTTTTGTGACTGACTTATTTGGTTAGCATAATGTCCTGTGGGTGCATCCATTCTTTGCAGTTTTGGTTAGGGTTTGTTTGTGTGGTTTTTTTTTCTTTCATTCTATATAGTTTTATGAATTCTTTATTATTTGTTTTTAAATGTTGCATAGTACTTCATTGTGTGAAAGCACTATGGTTTTTTAATCCATTCCTCCACTGATGGACAGTTGGGTTATTTCCCTTTCTTTGCTGTTGTAAATAATGCTGCAGTCAACATGCATGTCCATGTATCTCTTCATACCAATTCCTGTTTCTTTGGGATATAATCTAGTAATGAGTTTCTGGTGGTCAAGAAGCTTTGGTGGTCTAGTGATAAGGAGTTGCATTGCCAACTTGAAGGCATGCAGTTCAAATCCACCAGCTGCCCTGAAGGAGAAATATGGACAGTCTTTTCCAGTGCAAGTTAATAGTGTCTCAAAACCCTCGGGTCTGCTATGATTTGGTTCCAACTTTAAGCAACATAACAAGTAAGATTGCTGATCAAAGGATATTTTCCTTCCCAACTTCTAAGGTGGCATCAACCTGCTCTCCATAGTGGTTGCATCATTTTACATTCCTACCAGCAATAAAGAGAGTTCATTCTCTCCACACCCTCATGTTTATTGTCTGAAAGAATTTTGCTTTTGTCCCTAGGGTGAAATGATGATCAAAATATAATAGCTAAAGATAGTGAGCATCATGAGACAGATGAAGATGTGTCTGCTGGCCATCTGAGTATCTTCTTTTGTCAAATGTTACTCATGTCCTCTGACCATTTTTCTTTCTTGTTGAGGTATTAAGAGTTTTCTGCAAATTTTAGAGATGAGTCCTTTGTCAGATATGTTGTTGCCAAATATTTTTCCCTAGTCTATAGGTTCTCTTTTACTCCTGGAGAAGTATTTTGATGCAAATTTTTAGGATACAATTGCCTAGTTTATTCTCTGCTGATTGTGCATTTTCAGTTATATTTGGTAGTCTATTTATTCCTTAGAATAGAACTCCTAATTTTGCCCCATTTTTTTCTTTGATAATCTTTATAGGTTTATGTTTGATCTATCTTCAGATTGTTTTTATAAATGTGTAAGATATTTAATTTTTTTGCAAAGCTCCTAATTTTGCCCCATTTTTTTCTTTGATAATCTTTATAGGTTTATGTTTGATCTATCTTCAGATTGTTTTTATAAATGTGTAAGATATTTAATTTTTTTGCAAATAGAGGGCCAGTTTTGTTAGCACCATTTGTTAAAAAAAATCTGTCTTTCCTTAATATTAGATGTTTTCATTTTATTCCTTCAGTCTTTTGTTGTTGTTGATTGCCATTGAGTTGAGCATGACTCATAGCGAACCTATGAACCTATGAAAAAGATCTGAAGCCTCTCTACAACTATCAACATTTATCAAAATTAATAGAGTTTCCAGAGGCATGTTATTTAGGAAGTGGATGCCACTCCTTACAAAACCTGTCATATTATGTTATGTGCCACTGAGCCACCTGAAATGTATAGCAACCCTGTGTACAACAACTCTGAACCCTTCCCTGTCCTGAGCCAGCCTCCCTGACTCTGACACACCAACTTCTATTGCCCCAGTTACTGTATCAATCCTTCTCATCCGGGGTCACCCCTTCCTGCAATGTCTGTCCACCCTTGTGAGCTTGATGTCCTTCTCCAAGGACCGATCTCTCCTGGCCATGTGCCCAAAGTAAGTGAGGCAGAACGTCAGAATCCTAGCTTCCAAGGAGAGACTTGGTTTCACCCTCTCCAAGACAGAACTATTTGTTTTCTTGACAGTCCATGGAATGTTCAAGACTTCTCCAGCACCACAACTCAAAAGCATCTAATTTTCTTCTGCCATCCTAAGTAATTGTCCACCTCTCTGAAGCTAACAAGTAATTGAGAAAACCACTGCCTGGATTAGGCGCACTTTTGTATCTAGACTGGCATCGTTGGTCTTCATCACTCTAGCATCTTTAAACACACAGCGTCAGGGAACCCACAGATCTGAAAGCTATCTCTAGTCTCCTTGATCAGGTATCACCTTTCTCCCAGAAAGGCGTTGGTTACTTCAATCTCAGATCTTCAGATCTACTTCGGGGTCTGGCAGTCTGTTGGAACTACTTTTTTATTTTGCATTGTTTTTAACTCAGGATTCCAGAATTATCTATTGTCTTTGTTCTCTAGTGTTTTAGTTTAAGAGGGTTGGGCTGCCTTCTAGCTAACCTATTATCTTACTCAGAAGTTTTAATGTTGAATGATTCTTAGTGTTAAATGTATTAAGTAGAGGCATAATGATGGAGAAATAGAAGGGAATTTAGGATATCATCTGATTCATTGCAACTTCAATCCATTTCCTTTTGTCTTATCTTTGGCAGAGCTGAGATAAATGGATCATCCCAGTGTCTAAAACAAGTTTTCATATATTTGAAAACATTTCTTCATGCCTTTCCTGGGCTTAACTGTAGTTCTCTTTCTGCTTAACAGGTAGATGATAAGGAGCAAGCACAGGCTCTAATCTGACTTGGGCTTTCTCAAAGGTTTCTTTTTCTTCAAAGCACTGTGCCTGTGATCTCTGTCATTTCTGTTGCCACCCTTTCCCTTCCCTGACTCCTATCCTTTCCCTGCTAGCAGATTCCGTTTACATTTCTTTGCATATGCATGGATTGTAGGGAGGTAAATAATGAGAATGAATTAGGGACAAGGCTTTTCTTTCCAACAAACCTTATGCAGCAGTGCATTGCCCAGCACTGTGCAGGCTGATCACAGTTTTGACTATTACTAGTTTCTTTTGGATCAGGAACTCTCAACATGGAATATTCCTGCTGGTGCTTTAGTTTATCTCTCTCTCTCATTCTCTCTCTTTTATTTCATTTCCTTCCCTCTCTTTTCATCTTCTTTCCTTTTTGCTTCCTGCTCCAAGTCTTCTCTCATCTTTTCACTTTCCACTACTTTTCTTCTTTTTTTATTCTCTGCTTGATCTTTACATTCTCATCACTTTTCTTCCTTCTTTCTCATTCTTTTTGTCTGGTGGTTTGTTGGGTTTCCCCCTCCTCATATCTATGAGAGTCTGTTACTATAAAGCATCTCATAGGTTCATAAACTCCACAGAATATTGGGGTGGGGAATTTTAGAGAGATTGGAAATATTTATGATTTTTCTCTTTCAAACAGTTAAGATCTGAGAGTGTAGGAACCTTGTCCTCTCTTCATCTTGGTTCTTAGATGTTTAACAAACATAAAAATGTTTAGGAAACCAAGTCCCCACATGCCTAGAACCCATCAGGTCTCACTCAGGCTTCTTATTTCTTTTCTCCACAGGCCCTGCTCCCCAAAGGCCAGCCCCTTTCGAGGAAGAAAACCCTGGAGACAAGGCAGCAGTGTTTGTGTGTAACCCAGTCAGGTCCCAGGTGAGCAGGGTTCCCAGGCTGATAGGGGCTTTAGAAGCTGCCACCAATCTCTCTAGTCACTTCCTGACCTTTGACAGTCTTTCAGGTGGCACAGTTCCTCCTTCTTTGCTTATTCACCAAATATCACAAACCATGTGTACTTCACAACTCTTATTGACCAGGTGGCACAGTTCCTCCTTCTTTGCTTATTCACCAAATATCACAAACCATGTGTACTTCACAACTCTTATTGACCCTACACTACTACTTCATTTTGCTCTGTTTCTGGGCAAATATACAACTCTTAAGTCATGGAACTGAGTGGTAGAATCAAACCTCTGGTTTCAAAAAGTACTTCATTTCTTCGATGCTTAGTGACTATGTTTGACTTTTGAGGTCTCTTCACTTTGCTCTCCTACCTCAGAACACCATTCTTATATATTTACATTCCCAGTGTCCAGCACATTCTCAGTTACTATTTGGTAATAATAATAATGGTGAAATTCTATATATCCAAGATAAAATATTACATTTTCACAAAGTGAACTGTTTATTCCTCTCTTTATTTTCTCAGGAGTGCAAACATTTTTCTAGATATTTAGTTTTTTAATTTCTTTCCTGTCTAAGCCCTCTTGCACACTACTGCTAAATCTATTTTCTTATGTTCTTAAGTTGGTAATTCCATCAGACTCATTGCTACCTGTTTTTTAAAAAATATTTTACCTTCCCAAAAAGAAATATACAGAGAATAAAACCTACTTGCTATATATATTTCAAGTCAATAAACTTTCCTTAACTATAGTAGTGAAACAAAAAAAGTATTTTAATTAAAAAGTAGTATTTAAAATGTAAAATCTTGTACATTTTGGGGAAAAATGACAAAATAATCACTCTTTTGCACTGATGTATCCTCAAGTTGGGGTTAAAGAGAAGCAGCTAGATCAAATTCCAAGGAAATTAAAGGACAGATATGTGGGTGAATGATAGAATGAATACTAGTGTTAGCTAATAAAATACCAGATAAAGTGGGATGTAACTTAATTGAAGTAAGGCAATTAATGCAATTGAAGCAAGACAAATAATGGACAAAAGGAAGTAGAGGTAGTATATTCTTTAAAATGAAGTGGGCTTTTAAATACTAAAATAATTCTGTTTGTTGTTACTGTTGGAGTAGTAATAAGGTAGGAAAGAGACACCATGTCTTGACACCCTCCTGCTTGCAGAAGCCAACATTCAGCCTAAATAGCCAAGGCACTGTGTGCTATCTCAGACAATGGGAAGGAGAGGGTGGAAGGAAACCAGAAATTAGACAGTTAATGAAAAGCCACATGATAGACCTTTGTGATCACTGCCAGGCAAAGAGAAAACCACAGGCAGATCCTAAAAGAAAGGAATCATTTCATCATACAGTGTTTCCAACCTAGATATCACTGTGCTAGATTTGAAATACTTTAAATTATGTTTTAAAAGGAAATTCAGTGAGATCTTTGCACTTACGTTAAGTTCTAGTTCTGTTAAAAGAAATCTCAAAACTCCTTCCGTTTTATACCTATACTCAACTGCTTTTGCAGTAACTGCAAGATTCTATCGAAATGTTCAGACACATAGTATGAAAATGCTAAAAAATAGAATGAACCAAGTGAATAAATTAATAAGTACTTTTGAGAAAATGTCTTTATTCCATGTAGTTTCTCTCATATTATTCTATTTTTTAATATACTTATTTAACAACTTTAAGATTCTTATATTCTTTTTTCCCCTTATTGGTCGAATAGGATGTGACTGGCACAGGCAGAGATTGCCCCTCCTTCTCCAGCAGAGCATCTGGTGGAGTAAAATGCTGCTCCTTCGAGATTGCAACACAGCTTCTTGTCACTAGGCCACCAGAGCTCCCTAAGATTCTTATAGACTTAAAAGTAACAAATTTATATTTGTTTTAGATTTAGTCCAGCAGAGTGCTTCAAAGTTGAGGCACTGCTTTTTTGTAGTGTCAAACTGTCCTGCACATTACAGTATGTTTACCATCTTTGGCATCATCCTCTAAACAGCATGGCGGGGAGGTGGTAGTGGTACATTGTTATAACTGAAACTCACTCACTCACTCATTACCATCAAGTCAGAACTGACTCATAACTGATCCTTTAGTAGGTTTTCAGAGGCTATAAATCACACAGGAGATTACCCATCTTTCTCCATTGAAATAGCTGATGGATTTGAACTGCCCACCTTGGGTTGGAAGTGCACTTCCTTACTCAATAGAACATGAGAGCTTCCTATATAATTGAAAAGATTTTCACAAATTTACAGAATTCCCCTAAATTGTTTCTATATCTGGTCCACAGTGTATTATTCAATATCCTTTATAACTAGACTCCTTAAACTTACCACAGTGGAAATAAAGAGATCATTTCTTGACATTTTAGACACTGGTGAAGACTGAGGAAACAGCATCCCAGGCCCATGTCCCACAGGAGTGGCCACAACAGGGTCTGGCTCAGAGGAACCTCTGTGAGAACTCTGCTCAGGAGAAGATTACAAACCTCAGTCTGATGAGTAAGGACAGACTTCCAGCCAGTCCCCTGTCTATGCTCGCTTTCTCCCATCACTGGCCATAGCCATTCCTTGTGAGCCTACATCTCTATAAACCCTGACCCCCCAACTTCTAGCCTCTAGACTTCTCTCATCTCCTGTCCTTTTGTGCCCTTCTCAATTGATTTCACTGTTTGTTCATTCTTCTTATCTTTTCTGATCATTCCCCTAATTCTCTTAGCAGCTCCTCTTTGCTTTTTCTTCTTTATCAAGTGTTTCATATAACTTTCCTTTGCAGACATTCTTACACACCTGAAAGCCACTCCCACCTCCCAATTCTCCTCTGCCCACTTCACTTTATGGGAAATTTTCCAAATGTGCTTTTCTTTATTAGATCCTTTCTTAGCTAAGTTGGGCCCTGGTACCCTGGCTGGTACTTGAGACTGAAGTCTTCTGGAATACCTCTTGATTTGTGTTTTCGCTTGTTAATTTGGAATATCCTATGTCCTATCCCGGGGGCTGTATTTTTAAATCAGTGTGGGATGACATTTAAAACCTTAATATATTATTTCAGCTGAAGAAGTTGTGAGTAAAGATGGATTGTTTTCTGCAAAGGAAGAACCTTCTGAAGAAATGAACCCAGGCGGGGAGATATCAGGGGTACCCAACAGGTAAGTGTTATGGTCTTGAGTGGAATGGATCCTGCAGGTATATGAAGAAATTAGAATCAGACCAGATGGTCAGAGGTCTTCTTGCCTAGGATAATACAGAAAAGGTGCTATTCTTACCTCGGGTCATAGGAGACCCCCATGCCAAGAACGGGACCTATCAAAATACAGCAAATATGCAGAAACATTCACTTGAAGCACAGACCTTGGCACCCAAGAATCCTATCCTGAACAAATATACCACATGTGTTCACTGCAGATGAGGAAAGAATATATTATGATGAAGTGTCTAGTAGCTATGAATAAAGATGCGGGAGAGGCACTTGAGATTTGAGTACTTAGAGCAAGTGTCTCAGGAAATTACATCTGAGACAAGACTTGAATAAGAAGAAAGAATATGCTAAATAAAGAGAAAGAGGAAGCGATGCAGGCTGAAAAGTAGAATTGCAAATGGCTAGAAAATATAGAAGATGTAAGAGAGAGTGGAGACACAGAAAACATGGACGAGGAGTGGAGACACAGAAAACATGGACGAGGACAATTTCACAGAGTGAGTTTCTGCCTGAAAATCCTGTGTCCTATTTGGAGTAAGATAAAAGATCATACAAACAGATTTGTCCTGGAAAGGGTTAAACCGGGTGGCTCCTTGGAGGAAAGGATTCTCAGGCTCCGTCTGACATACTTTGGGCATGTTGTGAGGAGGGACTGGTCCTTGGAGAGGGACATCATGCTTGGGAGGGTGGAGGGACAGCGCAGGAGGGGAAGGCCCTCTATGAGGTGGATTGATTCAGTGACTGGGATAATCAGGATGGGAGTGTCAGAGACAGTGCAATTGGCACAGGACAGAGCAAAGTTTAGGGCTGTTGTAATAGGGTCGCTATGAGTTGCAAGCGACTCGACGGCACATAACAACAAAAACAACAAGGTTAAAAATTGGAGAAGAGAAATGAAAAGTTGAAAGATAGCGTGCACACCAGTTGAATAGAGACCTAGGAAAGGCTAAATATTTCCATTTTCAGATAGACTGTGAGTGGTATGAAGAGGTTCAGTAAATAAAAAAACTTACCTAAGTCCAGAGTAATTGGACAGATACACAGGAGTCAAGCAGGGTACTGGAAATGTAAGCTTTATTATAGATAGAAGCTAGGCTGGATGCAGTTCAGAGGCTGAGCTAAATGGGCTCCTACTGACAGAGATGGAGGGCAACACACCTCCCAGCACAGACCTGCCTGAGAGAACTTGAAAAAGAAGCCAGGGATATCTGCATCTTCTTCTACAGAGGACAGAAAGGGACCACAATAAGGATGTCTAGTTCTTTCTAGATTCAGCAAGTAGATAACTCATGAAAAGTGAGTAAGAATGGGGATCAAAGCTAGAAATAAGTTGTTGTTAGCTGATGACTCATGGTGACATTATGTATAACAATAAAATGTTGTCTGTTGTGCACCATCTTCATATTGGTATGTTTGAACTTGTTGCTACTGTATCAATTCAGTTCATTAGATTTTGTTTTTTCCTGACCCTCTACTTTACCAAACATGATGTAATTTACCAGTATGAGATGTAAGTAATACTAGCAGAAGGCTTAAGCGTCAGAGGTTTTGTCCTGTATGAAAGAATAAGACTGAGGATTTTATAGCATGTAATCTTTTTCTTTTACAGAAATTGTGTACCCCAGTTCTCTTGTAGTCCCTCTGTCCCTCCTGAAAGGACAGTTGCACATTTGAACACTCTGAAGACCTGTCACCCAGGTGACTTGTGGGCCCGGATGCACATTTCATCCTTGGAATATGCTGCAGGAGACATTACTCGCAAAGGGAGAAAGAAGGACAAAGCTCGTGTGAGTGAACTGCTCCAAGGCCTAGCATTTTCTGGTGACTCTGATGTGGAGGAAGATGAGCTAGAGACCCAGCCTACTCAAAAGAAGTTCAAGCAGTCAAGTGTCCCAGAGAAGAAATGGGCCAAAAGAGACCTTAAACCCAGCTTCCCAAGCTGGTCAGCACTAGATTCTGGACTTTTGAATCTCAAGAATGAAAAGTTGAACCCTGTTGAGCTCTTTGAATTATTTTTTGATGATTACACTTTCAACTTGATTGTCAAGGAAACCAATAATTATGCATTTCAGAAAAATGTCAACTTGGAAGTTACAGTTCAGGAAATGAAGTGTGTATTTGGCATCCTGCTTTTGAGTGGATTTGTGAGGCGTCCTAGAAGGGATATGTATTGGGAAATATCTGATGCAGATCAAAATCTGGTTAGAGATGCAATTAGAAGGGACAGATTTGAATTGATTTTCTCAAACCTACACTTTGCAGATAATAACCACTTAGACCAACAAGATAAGTTTACAAAATTAAGGCCTCTCATAAAGCAACTGAATAAAAATTTCCTCTTATATGCTCCCCTAGAAGAACACTATTGCTTTGATAAGTCCATGTGTGAATGCTTCGATACTGACCAGTTCCTGAATGGAAAGCCTATTAGAATTGGATATAAAATCTGGTGTGGTACAACCACACAAGGCTATCTGGTTTGGTTTGAACCCTATCAAGAAGAATCAACTGTGAAAGTTGATAAGGATCTTGAGCTTGGTGTAGGTGGGAATCTAGTGATGAGCTTTGCTGATGCTCTTCTAGGGAAAGGCCAGTATCCCTATCACTTGTGTTTTGATAGCTTCTATACAAGTGTCAAATTGGTGTCAGCTTTGAAGAAGAGAGGATTGAGGGCAACAGGAGCAATTCGTGAAAACAAGATTGAAAAAAATCCCCTTATGAATGCGGAACACATGAAAAAAATGAAGAAGGGATCTTTTGATTTCCGAGTGGAAGAAAATGATGAGATAATGTTGTGCAGTTGGCATGGCGATGGTGTCATCAGTCTGTGCTCCAATGCAGTAGGTATAGAACCAGTGAATGAAATAAGTTTTTTTGCTGCTGCTGCTGCTGCTGAGATCCTTCAGATAAGCCAGCCCTCTATAGTGAAAGTGTATGATGAATGTAAAGGAGGCGTGACTAAAATGGATAAAATAATTTCCAAATATAGAGTAAGAATAAGAAGCAAGAAATGGTACTTAATTTTGGTGAGCTACATGATTGATGTAGCAATGAGCAATGCATGGCAGCTACACAGAGTCTGTAACCCAGGCGCTTCTCTAGACCTCTTGGATTTTCGGAGATGTGTTGCACATTTCTACTTGGAACACAATGCTAATAAAATGGACACAAGACTTGTAACAAGTTACAAAAAAGTAGTAACTACACATTAGATTGTACATCTCAAAGCAAACCTGATGTATGTAATAATTAAGTAATTAAGGACTAAGACTTTTAAAAACTCAGACATTTATATAGAGTATCAAAGGCTGTTATAACAAGTAATGCTAAAACTATCTGTAAAAATGTTGAATTCCAATTGTACATTTTTCTAGGTCCAGTTTTGGTATCAGGGATAGAAAAAACCATTTTTTGTTGATTATTGTGTCCACTTAAAGAATTAATCTTACCTCCTTTTAAAAAAAATTATTTCTGGAGAATGTAATTTTAACATGTAGACAATATTATAGTAACTATGGATCTGTAGAGTGGAGATATAAATAAACAGAGCCCATGAGGTAAGAATAATCTAAATAAAATGTGGTGAGAGATTGAAGAACTCAACATTGGTGTACAATGTTGTACTATGTGTAGATGAGAAGGACTGATGTTGTGGGAGAGCATTGTAAAGAGAAAAAGTAGTAACTTTTGAATATTTTAAAAAAGACAAGGCATGTCCTATTATAACTTTGGGGGTTGACAACAGAAGTGAAAAAATAAACGTGAGAGAATATGAAGACAATCATTAATAAGGGGGAACCATCATGAGAAAAATAGCAGTATAGTTCAAGTGACAAAGTCCATTAATTCCATGTTGAAATCAACCTAGGAGATAAATGAATAAATCTAGGACTAAGATTATCAATGATAGAAATGCAAGGAGAAATGCCAGATACAAACGCGTTCAGTGCTAAAGCCTAGTATTGATGAATTACTCTGCAGTTAAGAGAGAAGCCAGACTCAACTCATTATTTGAGGTATTAGCTACAATTCTGTTTACTTCCTAACATTTACAGTCTACTCTTGGCTAGAAGGGAGGTGGTCAGGTTTGAATTCTTTCAACAGGATTGTCTATGATATGTGCATAGTTGAAGGTGCACTATAGGTTAACCAAAAGGTTAGGAGTTTTGAAGTCAGAAGCAACTAAGGTGAAAGATTTCCAAAATATAATACCTATGAAAACACCATGGAATGCAGGGTTGCTTTGCATACACGATTTGTTTTTTAATTTTTAAAATAACTTTAATTGATATTTTAATGAAACTTTACAGAAAACTTGGATTTCCATTCATTTATTGGTGCACATTTTCTTCCCTATCCACCCACCAGTTTGCTTTTCTCTCTTTTTTGTTTTTTCTTTTAATTCTTTTTTTTTTTCTTTTCTTTTTAAAAAGATTCTTTCATTGCTGCACCACAATTTGTTTGTTTGGGTTTTTTAGAGGTTTTTTTTTATGATTTGGTTTTTGATGGTGGAAAGGTAAGCCAACTATAATGGAGTCACAGATTAACATGTTCTGTACTGAGTTCAAATAAAAGTTTGTAATTAAAAAGTGCAAACAATGAATGCATGGAAATCCAAAGTTTCTGTAAATTTTTACTGAAATTAATAATAAATTTAAATTTAAAAAGTTTGTAATTAATCTGATAATCCTCTAATTAGTCACACCACTAAAGTGGATTATTTTCCTTTTTTAAAATAAAATATTATTATTGTGTGTGTGTGCTGTCAAATCAGATCTGACTGGTACAGGAGATTGCCCCTCCTTCTCCAGCAGAACATCTGGTGGATTCCAACCGTGGGCCTCTGGGGTTGCAGTGCAGCTTCTTGCCACTAGGCCACCAGAGCTCCCTTATTGTTTTCTGATTTTACATGATGGAGAATCTGGCATCTACAAATTTTTACAATGACCTGAGCATGATATACCCGATCCCTGCTTATACCTTTCACCATGCGGGGCTAGATATGAGCCTCATCACTGGCTCTGAGGCAGAATGGCTCCGCATGGATGGTGGCCCTTGTTTCAGGCCAGTTTTCCTTCTTCTAGAGTGTTTTCATCGACACAGGAACATTGTGCAATAACTCTTGTCTTAAAGTTCCTTGACTTGGCATCTTTCCACATTTCTGACCCCTTCACAGCAAAAGGTCTTCAAAGAAATGCTAATGTTTTCACTTTTGCTCTTAATCTTTAACAACTAATCAATTTGTTAAGTAACAAAGATACTAAAGAGGTACATTAAATAAGCAATAAATTATCGGCACTCACCTTGACCTATGAGCTGAATGGACTCAATGAATCAATGCCTTCTTGAAATACTGTTCATTTGGCTTCTCTCTTCATTCTTCTACCTCCTGACCACTCCTTTACAGTCTTCTGTGCTGGTTTCTCCTCACTTTCTTGACCAAATGCTTAGTGTACCTCACAGCTTAGTCTTTGAACTTCTCTTTCTATACTCATTCCCCAAGTGATAATAACCCGTTTACATGACTTATATGGCATCTATATTCAGGTGACTCTTAATATTTTTTAAATCTACAATCCAGACCTCTCTTTTGAGATTCCAGTATCCAGTGGTTTTTCGCTTGGCATTTTCATGGACATCTTAATTAGTCCAAAATAAAATTTTCCTGTTCTCATTTCCAAACTTGCTTCCACAAAATCTTCTCCATTGCAACTTCACTCTTAGTTGCTTAAATGAAAAAATACGGTGGACTCATTATCTTTAACTCCTTTGGTCCACATCCATTTTCAAAGGCATATGCAAATTTTGCTGACATAGAAAAGGGATGTGCAGAATTTATACACTTCATCTTCCACTGTTTTGTTTCAAACCAACATCATTTCTTATTGGACTATTGTAATAACCTCCTATTTAGAACTCTCTGCTTTCCTTTTTCCAGTGTCCCATAATGTCTGTTCTGAGTACCTAGTGTGATCCTTTAAAATATAAGCCAGATCATATTCTCTGATCAAAACCCATCAGTGGTTTTTTAGGTCAGAGTAAAAGGCAACACTCTAAAAGTGGCCTGTTTAACCCTACAGTAGCTCTATCCAATTTGACTCCTTCATATTGTGTTCATAGTTTCTGTACTTTCCCCCTTCACTTCTCCTCTGCACCAGCTACGCTGGCCTCTGTATTGTTCTTCAAACACAGAACACTTCCACTTCAGAGCCTATGATCTTGCCTTTCCCACTTCTCTCACACAGCTATAGAACTCCCTCTTCAGATTTCATGGCCTTCCTACATGAAATAATGATTCCCTTTACCTCCATCCTGGCAAAATCTAACCCCCTCAACCTACTTAATTTTTGATCATAGACTATTTTGCCATCTGATTTTTTGTTGTTGTTAGGTGCCACTGAGTCAACCATGACTCAGTGATCCTGTGAGGAACATACCTGAAGATTGCCCTTCCTGCACCATCCTCAGAATCTCTGTCATGGTCAAGTCCATTGTGGCTGTCCATCCTGCCAATGCCATTTGATATATTACATTTTGTTTGTTTATTTATATTTATATATAAATTATTTACTAAAATGTTATTTCTACTGGAACAGTATTACTCAGAAAAAGTCACCCCATGCCAATTTATTTCTAGATAGAATTTCCTCTAAGGAAAATCACTGGAAAAGAAAAGCAACATCCCATAATCACAGTCTTACACCCATGAGACACCAGTACCTGGTTTGCAGACAGGCTACTCATTCTGAAACAAAATTGTTTTCTAAGAACAGATCTAGCCACTTGAAAAACCTTATTATCCAAGATAGCCCCATTAAGGGACCTGGGAATCAATGTAGTCAGTCAGTCTAATTCAGGAACATTATAGAACCTAAAATGACTAATAAGGTTGCACTGACGGCAAAAAGCTTTCCCACATTCATCACATTCATATGGTCTCTCTCCAATATTACTTATCTGATGCATTTTGTCCACCTACTAAATCTTTTACTTTCCTCACTAATGTGAATTTGAGGATCCTGGAAGAGCCCTGCATTCTGACCAAAGGCTTTACCACACTCGTTACATTGATAGTGCTTCTCTCAATTATGCATTTATTGGTGCTGAACAAGGTACAAGCTCATGTAGAAGGCTTTCCTACACTCTACATTTATATGTTTTTCCCCTTGTATGGATTCTTCTGTGTTGAATATGTTTACTGGCACTGAAGGCTTTCCCACACTCATTATACCAATAGAGCTTCTTTGCAGTGTGGCTCCGCTGATGGTTACTGAGGGCTGAGCTGTGGCCGAATGTCCTTCCCACACTGCTTACATCTATAGGGTTTCTTTCCAGTGTGTCTCCACTGATGGTGAAAGGCCTGACCTCTCTGACTGAAGGCTTTCCCACATGCTTCAGAATCACTTGGCTTCTTTCCAATGTAAATTTGCTGGTGCTGCATGAGGACTAAACTCTGAGTGAAGACTTTCCCACACTCACCACACTTGTGAACTTCTCTTCAGTGGGATCTCCCTGCTGCTTTTCTACCTTGCTTCATGTCTACAAGTTTTTCTACTTAGAATCCAGAGAGACATCTCTTTGGAGTCTGCTAGATATATCCCCAAAATATTTCTTTTAAGATTTCTTGCTTTGGTGCCAACTTCTGGTTATAAGGTATTCTTTTATTATCTGTAATAATAAATGAAACACAAAATGTCATCACTTTTAAAAAAATGAAAGTAGACAACAGTAGAGTATGAAATAGGAAGATCCACATCAAAGATATAGATATTTTAGTGATGGCAGTGTAAGGTAAAGAGGAATTAAGCAGAGAGATTAAGGTTAGCAGAATAACAGATCATCAGTGCTGCTCACATGGCTGGAGATGATTGCTCAGGGAAGATAAGGTTCCATCAAAGGATGTACACATCAGGTAGTATATAGTGTTTACTACATACCAGGGTTATCCTTAATGTTTTATGTGTATAATTATCAAGTGACCTTGTAACTGAGGCACTGTGCTTATCTCCACAAATGTGTAAACTGAAGGTACAGGAAAGTAAAATGACCTCTCCAAAGCCACTGAGATAATAAGTAACAGTGCTTAAATTCCAACCCAGTTTCACTTCTATACAGAGTCACCAGAGATCCCCTGAATGGGCCTGTTGAAATTTTCACTTGTTCTTGAATTTCTGGGGACTGAAAGATTCACACTTGAATTGGGATTGAAGCT